TTACTGATTTATCAAAAAAATTTTTTGTAATAGCTAAAGATTTGAAATCAAATGAGCAGGTATATTTTGTAATAACTTATATGTTTTAGAATTTAAATATAAAACAATAATATAATGATTGTTTAGTTTTTACAATTTTTTTAAATAATTTAATAATATTATTGTTATTATTACATGCTTGACTTTATGTTTTGCATTTCTTATATTTCTAGAAATTTAAATATGTAAAGTTGAAACTTAGATATTAAAATGTTAATAATATGTTATTGATCTTTTTTTTTAATTGATTTTAATATATTTGGAACAATATTGATATTAGTAATTTCTGATACATTAATAATTAATTCAAAAACAGTTGATTATAGTATATTTATTAGAAATAACAGAATAAGATTATTCATCTCTAAATTAATTTTTTGTTTTATATTAAATATGTTTCTTTTATATAAAATATTTTGTTCAATAATTGATATATTTTTCTTATAATATAGTTATAATCTAAAGATTTAATAATTACTTATTTTTGTTTTTCTTTATTTTTTTATTTAATTTTTCAAAATTAATTTCAAACTATTTATCAGTAATTTCAAAATAGACCTGCTTAATTTTAAGATAATTACTAAAATAAAAGATGTTTTTTTTTCAATTATATCTAGAATTTACTAAACTATTTTTAATATTTTGTATTATTTTATTAAAATATTAAGTTCTTTAAAAATACAAATCTTAGAATTATAATTTAATAATAAAATTATATATATATTTTCAATAATAAGTAACTTTAGACTAAATAGTAATAAATCAGATATCTTTAAAATATCTTTATAAGAATTGTTTGAATTATAACAATTTCTAATACAACCAATATTTTTTGAAGTTTTTTTTTTCAATAGGTAAACATTATTTCTTTATTAATAGTATTATACCAAAAAGTTATATATATGGTAAAATAAACAATATCTCTTGTGTATAAAAATACAACAAGTTAAATGTTAGCTTATCTATATATCTATACCTAATTAATATTGAAAAAAAATTTTAAAACAATATTGTATATGCCAAATATAGCTGAATAGTGGCTATATCTACTTATTCAAAGTTTTTTTGATTGAACATAAAGAAATTTGAAAGTAAAAAAAAATTAAGAAAAAAAAAACAAACTGGAGTTACAATAATATGAGTTATTAAAACTATAACTAAGTTGCTTAAATTTATTAAATCTATATAAATAAAGATAAAGTCCTCAAGAGAATTTCTGGTTTGACTTGATGCCAATTTCTTGCTACTTATTAATATAGCTTTTGTTGACATTGATAGTAGAGTATAATTGATATTATTTATCATTATGGTAATTGTTATTGTTATTGTTATGCTAAAAAATCAGTTCGAACTAGTTTGGTTTTTTTTTGTTGTTTTGATGAATTCTAATTGAATGATTGAAGAGTGATAATTATCTGGAGGGGTAAACTGATTTCAATTTTTTGAAATGGTACAGTAAATAGTACTATAGTAAAGTTATGTATAAAGATTGTATTAAAACAAACAGTAGATCCAACAATTTTGGTTGAGTGTATTTTTTGGAAAGTATTTGGTTTAGCAAGTATAACAATATTGATACAGATGGTTTTTGTGATATAGTAAAAATAAGAAGGGATGCAAGAGAACAAAAGAAAAAAGAATTGACATGAACCTTTTCTCATGTAACCGAAGAATAAGCAAGACTTCCAAACTTGAGTAGACTTTGACTAGAGGTCTCCTTCCATTGCATCAGTTGTCTTGAAGGTTTTTGAGTTCTTGAGCTAAGGCTTACTTGTGATAAAGAGTGTGAAACATTTTTTCTTGCTTAAAATTATTATAAAAGAAAAATTTTTAACAAAATAGATATGATCAGAAGAGAGTTTTTTATTATTAATTTATTTTTTAGAATTTATTTTATTTAATTTCTATTTATTTTTATTAATTAGAAATAGTGTATCAGTAAAATTAAATTGGCAGTGATCTCTAAAGATCTTTGTTTTTATTAGAGATCTTTAGAGTGAAGTTTTTATATATAAATTTTGAAAATCATTGTGTTTTAACTATAAAAACCTTTAATAATCGAAGAGAAATGGAAAGTCTCTTGCAATATTATTTTAAAAAAATTTCTTGAAATTTATAAATTATATAATATTTTATGTATTATTTTTTGTTAAAATAAAAATTTTTCATGACAAATTTTGATTATGCAATTATTACAAAACCTAATGCAATTATATATGATATCATCGATCATAGCATACAGTATATACAGTACATTTTATACAGTATTGATTAATACAACTATTCTTATTATACTTTTATCAAACAAGAATCTACTGATTTGAATAAATACATTCAATTAAAGCATCTTGAAAATTCATTTTAGTAATAATAAATCAACATTGCTTTCATTAACCGTACTATTTATTATTATTTGCGAGTAAGAATATATACTTGCATATAAATAATTCAATTGTATTTTATTAGGTTCTGTTTTGAAGTTTTATTGTTACAAAATTATTTTTAATGTTGAGAAGCGATCTTCCTGAAATTAAAATACAGTATAGATTAATGTTAAGGAATAAATTAGTGTTGTACAAATGAAATGCTGGCAATATGAACCTTCTATTAATAATTAAGTAGAGCCGTTTTCATTATTCTTGATTTTACTGGAATTTTCTTGAAGCATTTCAATGGCATTCTCAAAGTTCAACTGTGAAAATTCTTTATAAAAATTCAGTCACCCGATGTTCGGTGCGCAATGATGCGATTTGAAAATAAAATAATCGTACCAATAACAGAACTAGTTTCCAGTTTACCATTTTCACAAGTATCGGTATGGACTTCACCGACCTGGTTTTCTTTTAAATATGATGTATTTTAGAAATTTTCGATACATACTATTTAAAAAAAGAATTAATTGAAAACGATTATACATTGGATGTACTTACTGTCAATTCTATTTTCTAGATTCATATTTTCAAACTTTTCTAAAACTTTTTGTATTGTTGGTCTAGCGCTGGGTTCATCACTCCAACACCATTGGTAAAGATTCATATAATCCACGGGGGTATCGAGAATTGGGGTTTCTCTTTTTTTTTCATTGTGAATCGCCATAATTAATACTATCTTATTCTCCTGGAATTTATGAAACGGAGGAACGCCACTAGAAATTTCCCACATCAAAACGCCTAGACTGTAAATATCAGAACATTTTGTGTATTCATACTTAGAATTGGCTAATTTTTTTGGCTCATAATATGCAATCATCCCATAATTTCCCTTATGAATATAAGAATTACAGGTTTCAAATTTAGAGACGCCGAAATCAGTTATCTTTGCATTACCGTCATGAATGAGGATATTTTTAGAATGCTAAGGTTAAATAACAACTGTATAATTATGAACCTGGTTGTTTAGTACTGCATAAAGAAAAAAAACAAGTATCTGACTCACCAGATCTTTATGTATGATATTCTCCTCATGTAAACATTTTAGTCCTTCGGCAATTTGTAAGGCCAGATGATACCTTCTTTCCCACGATAAATCTTTATTCTCTTTTAAGTATTTACGTAAATCTCCATTGTTTGCATAATTTGTTACCAATAGATGTTCCAGATTTGAGGGATCTAGGGAAATAATATTATTGATGACTTTTGAGTAAATTAGTAAGAATAGATAAAATATCCTACCTTGACTGATGCCAAGACAACGTACTATTCTGTCCCTATACTCCATTCGCATGTGAATTTTGAGCTCGTGTATGAATGCCTTGAGGCTATTTCCTTTTATTTCGGTAGTATTACGCAATCTTTTAAAGACCACATCCTCACCCTTCCATGTTGCTTTTGTGATGCTTCCAAAGTGTCCGGATTCAAATGAGGGCACATCAACCTTTAGATGTGCATACGGGATGAATTTCACATGACCATTTTTAATGGCATTCGTCAACCATTCTCTAGCGTCATCAGTGATTGTAGATTGACGTTTAAGTCTTTTGATCTATAAAAAAATTACCGTAAAGCGTTATTCGCAACCGTACCGAGAAACGAAGCCTATGTGAATTCACCTTATTATCTTGATAATTATCTTGATATTCTTGATCTTTTATCTTATCCTGTGGATCTTGATTTTCCTGATATCTTATTTCGTCCTGTAGATATAGAATCATATTCTTATTTTGCAAACTTATTTGAACCTGTTTATTTTTCGATGACCTAATGTACCTTAATAAAAGAGTCATCAAGAGTTCTTTTGACTTTATGCATATCCGAATCTTTAAATTGATAATAGACATTTGAAATATGCTCGCGATTAACTAAGATATAAGAATGAAAATGTTAAAATGGTGGTTCGCTAATTCTAACTTATTTCTAAATGCTCAACTTTTTCAGAGAGAAACGACTTTTCTTTTCGTCACAATGCATGCACTAAAATTCCACGGGAAATCTATGCACAGCCCAAAGCACACACCTATACGCCACCACTGACATATGATATCGTTTATTTCAGATATACTTGGTCGAGTATTAAGATCATAACTCCAGCATCTCCGCATCAAGTTTACATAGCATTCGGGGGTTCCATCAACAGGAGTTAAGAGCATGTTACTTGTATTGTTCTTTTGACTGATCGTTAAGCCAATCATCATCTTGTTAAAATATTCAAAAGGTATTTTTTCTGTTGACATCTCCCACATGATTGTGCCGAAGCTGTAAATATTTGATTCTTTGCAAAATCTATTCTCTTGGAAAATCTCTGGTGCTGCATATCGTATGTTAAACATCATCTCCTCTTTCTCTTCTTCGTCCGTAACGTATTCAAGTTCGGCCAACTCCTGAATTGATCTACATCCACCTAGACCTCCAATAAGGGCTTTATTTTCATCAATCAATATTTGTTTTGATGAAAGATTGCAATAAACGAAATTCGCTTCATGGATATACCTCAGAGCAGATGAGATATCACACAAAATATCCAACTTCTTATTCCAATTTATTCGTTCACTCTTTTCTGACAAGTAATCACAAAGATTGCCAAACTTTGCAAACTTAATTACAAGCATATATTCTTTGATATCAGGATCTTGAGAAATTCCAAATATTGGTAAAATGCATGGATTCTTACACATGAGATATGTTTTCATCTAAACAAAATAATGAATAAATGATGGTTCTTTAATACTTTATGAAACATCATTTCGAATACTGTAAGTCGTCTTGTGTACCTGTTTCGCAAGGTCATACCATGATCTATACACAGACTTCATGTCAACGTAACGTTTCAACACAACCATCGTATTGCTTGCTCTCTGCCAGTTTTGATTTTCCCACATTTGAATTGGTCCATCGATCCACGTGGCTGTTTCGATCTTTGCACATTCACCAATAGTCACATCCTTGATGTTTTGAAATTGAGTATAGGGAATCCATTCAAAAAAGGTGTAAGGACCTGTCGATTTCAACTGGGAATATTTAATTATGTCATCAATTTTTTTATTTCCGCTTGTCCATTTATTAAAGTTTTCTTCAAAGTGTTTTGCCGCACAAGGTTGACACCATTGGTAATGTTGCTGAGTTTGTAGGCATTCAGGACAATCTTTAAATATTTTATGATTTTTTATAGACTTTGAGGTGTAATTCAAATCCTCGTAATCAAAATAATCCACGGTTAAACAGTCCGTATGATCTGTCGTATAAACAAATAACGTATCATATTTTGCAAAACAAGGAAGGATTAATTATTTAAATAATCTAGTTACCAACTACTTGTATGTATTGACCATCGTCATCCAATTCTTCATATTCTTCGACTTCTGTCTTTTTCTCGTTCATCTTTGAAAATTCAAGCGGATTTTTAGATTCAAGTTCCGAGACCTTGTGCATATATGCGTATCACAGTAGTAAATACCACCGGACATTTAATTCCGATTAGAGTGATGATACCTAATTATAATGAACGCACATCTTTGATCCGCGACTTATCCTATTGTAGCACGAATACAATGAAATGCTAATCGACCCATTTATCGAGAACCGACTGTATGCTGTGATATACGTACAGCATTGCTGTAGATACTACGAGAAATACTGTACATGCGTGCCAATGTACATCGTGGATGTGTAAGGTTGGCTGCTAACCACGCCAATTTTGTTATGATGTTGGATAACTCGAATATTTCATGATGCACGACTTGAATAAATCTTGATAAATCGTGCTGATTAATTCCTGACAAAAGAAAAAGTGTCAGGACTAAAGAGTTCTATACATACAAACCTAAAAACATGAAGCTTTTACAATTGAGAGAAAATTTTTTATGTCATAAGTTAATGATCAATATTCATTCACATGGGATTACAATATCAATGATGCAGCATAATTTCTGCTGCGCCACGTAACAAATAATGTGACACTATTCGATCGATTTTAAATTTAATTGTAATATAGTACATATTGCATCTTGGCCTTTAATATATTTTTTATGGTAGATATTTCAACTGTTGCCAGCGCAGTTGGTACATCAATGCAAGATAGAGTTGCCAAAATACTTAAGAATATTCGCTTAGACTCTTTGGCCCTTTTAAAATCCGAATCAAGTGCTATGACAACCAATCAGCTAAAATTGGTTTTGATGGAAATGGTATACATGACTTGAAAGAATTGATCAAGAAGGGGTTATCGCATATTTTAGATACTGTGAATATTGACTACATATATTATTTTAAAAAGACAGACTTACATCCTGGGATGCAAGTTTTTGAAAACGATTATGGGACATCCCTACAAATTATCGCAAATACACCTGGTATACTGTATGTTCACGATTATTAACTACCATATTAAAACGAGATATTTTTAGCATTTACTAGCTACTGCTTTTATTAGTGACATTAAAACATAAGCATGAAGAATCATCAGAGATTTTAAACAAAATCGTAAAAAGTATAAATGTAATGTGGGAATAATTCTCCCGGTTATGGCCTGCTAGTCAGATTCCAGTATTCAATAGCTCTGGCATTACTCTGGAAATGGTTAAACAGTCTGTACTTGGAGAAGAAAAAAAGCATTAACGGTTTGTTAGTAAAGATCATCGACTACGATGTGGACCTCACTTATTCAGAAGAAAACGAATTTACAGAACCCATTCCTGGAGTCGATTATGAAAACAAGATGGCAGACAGGGTTGACGGTATGTCTGAACAGGAATTATTAAATATGATGGTTTGCAAGAGGTTAAGAATGTTAAGAGATTTTGCAAATTAGACAAACCATAGGAGTAGATCAACTTATTATAGTGCAAGCTATTTAAAGACATCTAAATTTCTAAAAATTATATATATATATTTAAATTATGAAAATAAAATTCATAGATTTATAGTTTAAGATAAGATTTATAAAACTGAGTTTTTTTTAAAAAAATTTTATTTACTTATTGAAAAGTAACAATTTATTTGAAACAATTGTAGCGATATAAATTAAGACTAACTATAATTATTAATATTGTGGCTATTTAAGGTTGTCTAACTTTTTAAAAGAAAATTTCGTTTAAAACACTTTCAGGAATTTTACGATGAGAACTATATTTTTTTACTGCATAAATAGCAGCTTTTCCTAAAATACCAAGTTCATAAGCACTCATATATCAAGCAGAATGATGAGCAAATTGACGAATTTTTGTTAAACTAACAGGATCTAATGCTTTGGGAACAGTTTTCTTTGTTACAAAAAGAATGATAAAGATTTACATGTCACAAGATTATTTCTATCTTTATCAAATTAGTCAAAGTGTAACAAAAGCACTATTATAATGTTGATATAAGATAGGTAATCAAGTTTTCTTTGTTTCACATTGCATTACATATTTTTTCCAAGAAATCTACTAATATAATGTCACCTTCTAAGCAAGAAGTACAATGTCAGATCATATTACATTTCTGGGAAAGAACATATATAAGGCCAGCAAAATTCAGCTTTGGACCAGTATTCTGATCATAACAATCTATAAAAATCTTAAGAAATTAAAAACCCAGAGAGAAATCAAGTATAAAAAAGGTAATGTGTAACCAAAAAAGATTACTAATGACATTTCAAAATTATTGGAGCAATGCCTTTAGCAAAATTCTTCACTTTCTTTGAGAAGCTTGTCTGTAAAATTAGCAAAAAAGATAATTAACATTTTTCACATCACTATTCAGAGGCATTTACATAATATTGGATATAAAAATAATCTTTTTTTGGCAATGCCAATGCTAATAAACTATCAAAAACAAAAATACATTGAATGGACTTGTGAACACCTAAAAGATAATTGGAAAAACACTATTTTTACAAATAAAATAACCTTCCAATTATTCCAAAACCCAATTAAAAGATGATATAAGGATGCATAACCATTAAAATCTGTACCTAAGAATTGAATAAAATTCTTCATATAGAGTGGATTTTGTGCAAATAGTAAAATTAGTTTATTTTGCTTTTCATAGATTATGGATTCCAAGTTTTATATAGATATTCTTTGTAACCATATTCTTGAAGTCACAAGTATACATATAATATAAATTATTTGCTATCGACTCAATTCCTCCAAATCCTCAAAATAATTGTGTCATGAATCAATTACTTATATATTTTAATAGTGACTCAATTAATTGTATCAAATAATTATGTTAATTGCATCAAGGATCTATAATCAAAAAATAAAAGTATATTTCAAAATCTATTATAAAATAATTAGTATAATCAATAAAATAATAGTATAAATTAGTAATAGAAAAAAATAACAAAAGGATATGTTAAAAATTTTTTATATAAATCATATACTATATATCTTACCTCACTATAAATAAAATTTTATCTTATCTAATGCATCAGTTATATCATAACAAATAATTTTATAATTATTATTCTTTTTGTAACATACTGTATAATCACAATGAAGACATATATAGTATTTTTTTTTTTTTTTTTTATCGCGAACAAGCATTAAATGCGAGACTTTATTTAAATAAAAATATTTACTGTCATTACATTAACAATCTTTACATAGTAAATTAATTGTAGCCTATCGCAACAAAACTATTGGAACCAGGTACCACTGCGGGAGTGGGCTTGCACCAATAGTGCTGAATGGCTAATGCCATTCAGAACGATGATATAACTGTTGGAGTGAAGATTGACTTGTCAGTGAAATTGTATGAAACATTAAGTAGATCTAGAATCGTGTTAAATGTTGTGTTGTCATTTGGATCTGAGCTTGATGGCTTTGTAGATAAAGTTTTTTTCCATTTTATGCCTGATGACGGTAACGTGGTTGCTGTGGCAGATCACAATTTCCAGGCTTTGTATAAAATTTTAAGAGTATAATTAGAAATAACTTCTTTTTTTTAAAGAAGATTGAATGGGGGATCAAATTTGCCAATAGCTAGATTTAACAGATTGCTATCTGTTAATTTGAGTGTGTCCACAAAATCAGTAACTTTAATGCTTTTAGGATTTAAATCTAAAATAAGATTTTCAAGTTTGGTTTTCTTTTTGTTGATTAGAGATTTGTTGTGAATACAGAAGAAAATGTGTGGCAAGTCCTCAGGAAAGGTGTCACATCTTGGGCACAAATTATTAAGGTAAAGGCTTGGGTAACGATCGTGAAGTTTGATTCTAGTTGGAAGCTAGTTTGCAAAGAGCTTTGTTCTGAATGTTGACAGTGCCTTGTATTTGGTTTGGTCAGGAACATTGAGTTTGTTATTCGCTTTAATAGTAATTTCCAAATTCTCCAGTGATGTGGATTTGTAGGTGGCTGAGTTACTAAGAAGCATATTGAATAAATTGATATAGTAGTTTGTGAATTTTATCCAATGAGTGATACTTGTGACATGGGTGTTATTGATTAGGAGTGATGTTGTAAATGTAGATGGGAAACATTGAGGAATTGGTGAGTTAATTATGGGGGAGATTGGAGGTGGTGGTTGGTGATCTTTCAGTTTCAGCCATATGATAGTAATACTTTTTGCTGTTATGAGAGTATTACTCTTGGTGATGAATCTACTGTAAGGAATTTTAACTAGTCTATTTGAATAATCTGGAGTTCTCAACTCAGGGATTTTGTTAACATGAATCTTGAGTAATGATGAGGGTGGAGAGTCGAAGATAGTTTGAAGGAATACTGGCCAAAAAGCGCTCCAGAAATTGGGATGTAGTGTGTAGGATAAGGTGTTGGTGGGTTTGGAAACTAGAAGGGTGTTTTCGGCTTTCCTGTGTTGAAGTACTATATCGATCGGTTGGTTAGCCGGTGGTGGAGGTACAATAATTACTTGTAAATTTGTTTGCGGTGTGGCTAAGAAAGAGTCCAAGAGTTCTTGGATGTTGTTAAGCATAACATCTGAGTTTGCACGTGTGGTGTACCAGATGGATTTAACATTGGTGATGTCCATTACTTTGATACATGATTGTGATGGGCATGAGCATGGAATTATTTTTTTGCTATCCAGCAGGTAGTGCTGACCACTGATGGTTGTTGATGGAATGGCATTTATTCGGACTTTGAGAAGATTGATGGAGCTGTTAAGTAGAAAAGCCCAAAATTTGATGTTATGTCTTTTAGGGAGGAAGGTAGAATCGCCTATGATTGTTTGAGAAGTGTTTGGAATGGAAGAGAACCAGTTAGGAATTGGACCAGTAGTTATGTAGCCTCTGTGTGTGTGCAGTTCTTTCCATGCTAATTTAGTGTTGTGCTTGTGAACGTAGATGTTGTGAACGGTTTTGATGTTGGTATAAAATAGAGAAAGAACGGCAGATTTCTCAAGTCTGTTGATTAGTCCTATTGAGTGTTCGTGATTGTTTAAGTTGAAGGGACATGGGAATGGGCAAACTCAGATCTTGTATCTTCTTGCTAGTATGGTGGCTGAAATAATCCATGACTCTGCGAAGTAGTAAGGAAAGCAAATTGGGCAGTACCAGATGGCCTGTGCAGCCTGTATTGATGTAATTTCTTTTGAGATAAGTGGAAAGATTTTACTATTGGTGAGTTTAATGGTAAGAATTTTTATAGTAGCTAGGTCACGGTGATTTTGAAGATTGACTATGTTGAGACCAGCATGTGAGTGTAAGATTTTGTTGAAGATGGTACGCTCGACACCAAGTTTTGCTTTGATTGGTTTATTCATTTTCCTCTGAAGGGTGGTTATCTCACTATCTGATGGCACTGCTGCATTGATAGCATATTCAAGTTGTGCTGGTATGATTCAGTGAGAGGCTTGTCTTGTTATCAGATTATTCCAGCCTTTTTGTGAGGTGATGGCGTTGGTGAATTTGTGGATCTTTTCTGAGAGCTTCCTTTTTGTGATAGTGGCTGACGATTTCCCTGAAAGGTATATGCCTAAGTATCTAATGCCTTCTTCATATGGGCTAGGTTGAATTTTTTCCCCCTCGACGACAAGAAACTGATCTCTCTTTTGGTTTTTTGTTTTAAGGTTGGTAATTAGTTCTGTTTTCTTTTTGTTACATTTGATAGAATTGATGGACAGAAAAGAACAGAAGATGTTCGTTGTGTCTTGTAAATGTTGCATATTTGAGCTGGTGAGAGCAACATTATCCATGTACGCAAGGATTTTAGAGGATGTTGAATATTCTGTGGTTATCCTTGTAACCATAGGATTATAGAAGATGATCCAAAGTAGAGGAGATAGTGTTTCACCTTGGTCGAGTCCTCTACTGACTGTGAGGGGGTTGGAGAGATTATAGTAGGTTATTATTTTTAGTTCTCTTTCGTTTAGTAAATTGAGCATGAGTGTAGTGATTTTTGTTGGGATTTTAATTCATTCTAAGGCCTTTTTTAGACTTGGAAGGTTTACAGAGTCGAAGGCTTTGGAGATATCAAATGATGCCACCCAGATTTCTTTGTTGAGGTTATTTGCTGTGTTAATGATTGAAGTGATTACTGTGATTGGCTCAGTAGTGCTCTGGTTTTTCAGACCTGCATAATTAGATTCTGAGATGACCTTGTACTTTGAGATCTTGGTAGCAAGTCTATTATTGATAATTTTTGTAAAAATTTTCCTGCTTGTTTTGATGAGTGAAATTGGATGTGTATCTGTAAGGTCATATGACCAGACAATCTTTTTTGGCAACAGAGTAATTGCTGATTGTTTCCAGAATTTAGGGACTTGGCTTGATGACAGTGAGTTGTTGAACAGAGTTTTTAAGTGCTTTTTAGCCGTTGTGCTGATATGGATCCAGGCTTCATATGGAATAAGAGTAAGTCTGGGTGC